TAGTTTTTTAAAGTATGATAAGCTAAAGACTTTATATAATTATATATTAAATGATTTAGATATTTATAGTTATATAGGTCTTGAAAATGCTTACAAACAATTTTAGTAATTTTGACCATAAGAATATCACTGAGGTCAGTAAATAATAATTACCAGATTTGAATAAAGGAATACAAATTATAATAAATGTTACACACTTTAATTTTGACTAGATATTTTAAACATAATTGGTACATGTACCCATTTGGTTTTAAATATCTAGTCAATTGTGAATTAAACTAAGGGTTAATATCTGCAACCATTACACTGAAGTACCTAATTTTTTCTTTCGAAAAACGGTGATTATATAACAAAAAAGTGAAAAGCATTTCATTAACGAATGTAACTAAATGGGGTTAAAACGGGGGAAAAATATGGTTAAACTGCATTTAAGTTTTTCAATTCAACTTAATAAGCGGTAATAAAAATATGGATAATCATCATCAAAAACTGAAAATGTTTTTAATAATATTTTTTTATTGTTTTTAACACTTGAACACTTTAATTCATAAATGTAAGTGTTTATTAAGGTTTCAATTGCCAAAGATTTGGGCATAGAGAAAATATTTATAAAAAGATATCTTGTAAATGTGAGTCGAACATTTTACCACTACCCTGCTACTGCAGTGGTCCTAAACACACTTTTATATTCCTTGCATTTAAGAAAGTAAGAGCAAGTACATTTATATAAAGATGTTTTATGAATATCAAATACATAACAAAAGTATTTATTACAATAACATAAAATATAGTCAAATTTCCTGGGATTTTAGTTAAGTAAAAATATATTTATGACAAGTTTCCTTGCCATATACTTCATAACTAGCCTCTGTAACTAATTTGACAGCATGATCTACGCTCTGCGTGTAAAAAAAAATTCAAGTTAGTTCGGAACTTCCTTAGTTGCAATTAGTGAATTGATATCGTTTTCCTTTAACCTTATTATTGATGCCGGTTTACTGATTTTTTTGAAGTCAATTTATTCTGACCGAGAAGTTGCTTGAAAGTTCATGTCAGTATTTGTAACACGGCATTCTTTATTTTTTACTTGTCATGAGTTTTTTAATAACTAGTATCGCCTGTTACCTTATATAAGTGCCTTCATCTCTAAGCATACAATATAAAAAGTTCTCAGGCAATAAACAATAGGGTTTTTTTTTTAGATATGGGGCGAAAAAAATATACAATAATTGAAATTAAACAACAATTATTGAAATTCGTGAAGTAAATGCACTAGATTTTTAAATTTAATCAGAGCATTAAATTGAATTTCATTTGAGTTGTTTAAAAATATAGAATAATCAACTTAGTAAGCCATAAGTTCCATGAGTAGGTCATCCATTTTGTTTTCGCCCGATATTTGCTGTATACTTGAATATTTACCTCCATAAATGAAGCGCATCCAATTATCTCAATCATCTTTAAGCATTTTAGTTTTAAAAACATGCGTTCAATTTGGCATACTCAAATATCTAGTTATTTCGTCTTGTATTTTGTTACACATATGGTTAACAACTTTGTTTCTAATTGGCTTATGTTGATCTTCATTTCCAGTTATTATAATAGAAACTGCGCTAAAAAAGCCGTTTCCATCTCCTTTTAATATTGTGTTTCCTGACAATTCCAAACATTTCTGCAACTTATTTTCTCATATCAAAGGTTGTATATTTTGCTATTCTTTCATTTAAAACACTTACACTGCTTTCATATTGAGTATTATCGTATATGTTGTTTGATTCGACGTCTTTGTTAATTGGTCCAGTTTTGACATTATCATCATTTCATAATTTTAAAAATATATGTGCTACTGCATTAATAGATTACAAAGGTTTCAATATTTTTTTAAATACTCGCTTCTTTATTGCTTTTCAAGAAACAGCAGTAATTAAAATGTTTAAAAATGTTCACAAAAGACAACGTGGTTTGGTTGAAAGAATAAATTTTGCCGCAATATATTTTATCGGATTAAAAATCTTATAATGGGAGTTAAAATTTAGTATGAGATTTTTACTAGCGAATAAAAGTTTAATATGACATTTTTACCGGTGAGTAAAAAAAGGCGGGAGTAAAAACCTCATATTACACCGGCTTAGTAATTGTTTCGCGGCTTTTATTATTTAATTTTGAAACAAGTTGTATAGAAAGTTTTTGTTTCTCTAAACTAAAGAAATAATTTTTTTTTAATTCTAGTAAGAGGGTTTCTCCCCCTCCAGTCTCCTTTGGATTCTTATATTTATAGCCTCCCCTTCTACTTTTTCTTTTATCAAACTTCTCTAGTTTTCTTTTTATCTCTTTGTGTATTGTTTTCATGTTTTCATTTGAATGCATTTTTTAGAAGCATTTTTTAAAGATTTTAAAAGTTTAAACTCGTTTTTTTTTTATTTAAATTTTTTTTTTTTCTAAAACGCTGCGCGACTTTTTAAAATTTTTTTTTGCCACATTCCCACAAATCTTTTATGTTAGTAAAATTATATTTTTGGTTCTACATTTTCGCCAAGTTGTCTTTACTTTTGTTTTAAATTCATCATTTAATAAGAGTTTTAAATCCAGCTTCCTCTTCCAAATTTAAAACCGTTAATCTTTAATATTGCAATTTGAGCATTGTAATAATCTGTTAGATCTGTTGGTTCCAAAAATGTTTTCACTTTTTGTCTTATTTATTTTTTTGCTTATGTAAGAGCGGTCAAGTCAAGAATTGGATACTCCGGAAAAGGTTTAACAAGGTTTTTAAAGTTTTAATAGATGATCTATTAAAACAAATTTCAAATTTTAATGGGAGGGGATTTTAATGAAACTATGTCTGAATTTGACAGATACACAACGCTTTTTCGAAATCATCCTAGACCTATTTTAGATGATAAAAACTCATAAAAAGAATTTTTTCTTAATAACTGCGCATTTACGCCAGATGGCGCATAAATGTTAATTATTAAATAGTTTGCTTTATTAATGTTTAAAGCCACATAATTATAACTACCATTTTCGTTGTGACAAGATAAAGTTACTTTTTTAAATCATTTGTTGCATAAAATAGCTTTTTTTATTTGTTCCTAAAGAAAAATAAATATCTTCTTCCCACTCGTTTTTAAAAATATTCAAAATATCATGAGTTAAGGTGAGCTTCCACTCATCTTATGGAAACGGGATAGGAAAGGGAAAAATAATCACGTGAGCATGCGTAGTTTTACTTCGGACAAATTAAAACTTATAAAACGCATGCTCACGTGATTATTTTTCTCTTCCTTTTCCGGTTCCCGTGAAAAAATGGATGAGTGGAAACTCACCTTTATATGAGTTTCCTGAATAAGAAAAATATCACATGTTTTTTTTTTATAAATTTAAAACTTAAACTTTCCATTTTCATTTTTTAAATAATTTTTAATTAAAAATGAAAATAAATGCTCTATATAATAAACTCTCCATGATCAGGAGAATCTCCATGATTAAAGATTACGATGAGAGTAGCAGTATTTTTGAAACTAAAAATTCCGTGCGCCATAAAAAGAATAAAGCGTAATAAATTAGTGTAAAATAAACAATAATAACAAAATTGATGCATACCATCACCGGTTGATCGATTATTTTTGCAATTTTAATTTTGGAATTTCGTTACACCCATCAGAAATATTTTCCTTATACTTTTATTTAAAGGGTGCTTGCGGGTGCGATCTTTTTCAATTTTTCGCTTGTTCCATAGCCACATCGTCTTCGTCGTTGTTGTCAAATTTATTGTCGTTCAACAGGGCCGTTCCGAAGAGCTCTTCCATGGAGGGGTGTAAGTATTCTTTTGCCAACTAAGGACACACAAAATCAAAAAAAAAAAAAAAAGTCCTCAATACTTACAACTTGCCTACTATAAATATAGCAAACTATATTTATATTTAAGTTTGCCAACTACAACTTTAATATAAATTTAGTTGGCAAAATGACAACTATATTAATAAATATAGTTGGCAAAATGCCAACTCAAAAAGCATTTCAGTTGGCATTTTGCCAACTATATTTATTATATCAACTCAAACAGCATTTCACATTGAGCAAAACTTGCTCAATGTGCCAACTCAAATGCTTATATGTCAGCTTTGGGGGGTGGGACACCCCAACCCCCCCCACCTCCTTCGGGACGGCCCTGTCGTTCAATATTTCGCCATCTTCAACCTCGTTTTTCTCGATTAAAATGGTTTTTTTTTCTCCTTTCTCCGGGTCTTTTTTGATTTATATTCAATAAACGGATCTTTGACTATAACTAGATTTTCGGCTGGAACTGAAAACTTTTTAGTTTTTCTTTTTCCATGCTTCATCCAAAGTAACATTGAGGTACGGATATCGTACGGGGCCCATTCAGGTCGTCAACTGGGTCCTGTATAGGAAGACCAACGGTATCCCGCCGAATCGTGGCCGCGGTATCCATATGAGGCCCATATGGGTAAGCCCAACGGTTATCCCGTATGGGTCCCAGTCAAATCCCGTACTTTAAAACCGCAAGGGGCCCATTTGGGTTTGCAAATGGGACCCATATGGGAAACTCATCTAAAGCCCACCGGATCTTGGCCGCGGTTTTCCTCTGGAACCCATATGGGTATGCCCGCCATGTATTCCGTGAAGGTCCCACGAGGTTTACCCATTGCAAATCTTGCAAAACTACGTTTAAATGTGTAAAATTTACAGAAAAAGCAAATTTATTTTTAACTTGATTGGTTTCTTTCAAAAAATAGTAATTAAAATTACACTGTCGAAATTAAGCAAACTTTTAAACGATTCTTTAATCATGTATCGAATGCTTTCACGGTTATCTCGGGAATCGGAAGCTTTTCCATTGTTGTTAAAATGACTTCTTTGAAAACCTCTTTACATATTATCTCGTTTAAATATGAGCTGTAAAAAAAAAAAATTAAACTGTTAATTTTATATTATATAGGTAACACATACATTATTTTTATTATGTTATAAAACTCTTTCAATTTCTCCCGACACACTTCAGATAAAAAATGTAATTTTCACCATCGAAGGTAGAAAAACATAACTTTTAGTTTTATAATCGACGTTATTTCAACGTTTTTAAATGTACTTGTAATAGATAAGCACATGCTTATAATTCATATGATAAATTGATAACATTCTTTTAGTTACTGATAAATAAATTATATCAAATTATTTTAAAAATATAATTTTATATTTATATTGTATATAATTTGATATATATTGCATATACCTTATATACAGTGTCGTGGCTACAAGGTACAAGCCCCTCCCATTCAAAAAAAAAAAAAAAAAAACTGTTATAAGAGCCCCAAAACTCTTAAAAACTTTTCCAATGAATAAAAAAAACTAAATAAAAATACTAAATAAAAAAAAAACATCCTTACATTTGTAAAAGGGCCCCAAAATTTCCAAATGAGCCGTTATATATATATATATATATATATATATATATATATATATATATATATATATATATATATATATATATATATATATATATATATATATATATATATATATAACGACTAAAAAGTAGCAAATTCCTCAAACATAACCTTCTGTTTATCTTCTTGTATGTGTTTATTCGAGCAACCCTTTTGTCTTTGAACAAGTTTTTTTCATATAAATTTGGGCTTCAACATTTGGGCAAATTAACCATAAGTTAATGAGTATACCCCTAAGCATACTAGATGCATAAAGTCTAAAGAAAACTTTGTCACCATGTCAAAATTTAATTCAATTTAACACACCACTAAGATGTTCAGAATGCTTTTGATGACAAAAAATCTGAATCAGCGCTTAAAATTAGTGAAATATGTGGGAGTATTATCTTGCCACACCACTCTCCTTTCTAAACACAACGCTCACATCAGTTATAACCATTGGGTCCCTAGCAAATGCTCTAACTGGTGCATCATATATGATTATAGCAAGATTGATTTAAAACTCAATAATTTCATAGATAAAACCATCTTTTGCAAGAACTTTGAAACCTACCAAAAAATTATGTATATAATTAAGGTGACCAACTATACTCATTTATTGAGCTTTGTACTCTTTTTTCACAAACTGTACTCTTTCAAATCCTGTACTCTGAAAGTACTCATTTGTATAATTTTTTTCTCATTTGTATTTATAAAACATTTTTTTAGATTATTTCATTTTATTAATTAAATATTTAAAATTATTTTTACAGTGATTTGAATTTCACGCGCATATTGCTCGCCGTTTCTGGCACGTCAGAGGACAATATTAGTCCTCTAATATTGTGATTCCTAGGCCTAGGCTCTGACGGCAACATTTATAAATAGCAACAACTTTTGGCAAATTTGATTTAAATTTTTTTACATTTATGTTTAAATTTTGTCATTATTTTAGATTTTCATTGAATAAATTCCTATATGTTTTTATATAAAATATTTATGGAGTATTATTCTCTTTTACGATTAGCTATCAAGCTGAATAAACTGACTTGATCTGAAGCTTTAGGTTAAAGCTTCAGCTTTAACCTAAAGATAATGAGATTAAAGCTGAAGCTGAAATATCAGCTGCAACCCCTACTTTATAGATAGGCTTACCATACGTCCCGTTTTGACCGGGATTGTCCCGGTTTTATGCCATTTGTCCTAGCGTCCCAACAATTTTCGTTTCGTCCCGTTTTCGGAAAAAATGAATTTTTTGTTTCATTTTGTCCTTAACAAAATTCATAATTTTGATTTTTGAAAAAAAAAGCAGACAACGAAAACCATATTGTTTTGTTACTATACATATACTTACAATTTCTAGGTCATTTTATTAGGAATTCAAAGTCTTATTTTGAAATTATCTTGAATAACACTAACCGTTGACTTTATTAGTGTATGTGTAGCTGGAGGTTAACTTAAAGCTCTTGTTATAAAAATATATAAGTATTTTCACATCTACACAGTTAGAGTAACTGAGTTAAAAGAATTTTGCGATTTTGTTGATGTGGAATATAGAAAAATAATTCAGCATGAAAGTACTAGATTTCTTTCTCTGTTAACCGCAGTTGAAAAAATTTAGTAAATGTTTGAGGCCCTGAAGTCATACTTTGTTTCTCAAGAAAATTGCCCACATGCTTTGCAAGCATTTTTTAAAAGTGAAACAGGTGAGTTATATTTCTGGTTTGTGCATGATCAGCTAAATAATTATAAAAAAACTGTATTAGTTATGGAAAAAAGACAATAAAATGCAACAGACCTTATTTTGGAACTAAAAAGATTAAAATCTAATCTTGAGGAAAAAATTATTCATAATTTTGTTCCACAAGGAGCAAAACAGTCGCCTAGAAAATTGAGTGCTTAGGGTGTTAATACATTTATAACAGATGTAAATTCATAAACGATGTATATCTTATATTGAACTGTGGAAAAATAGTTTTGTTGAGGCTGAGATATTTGCATGGATTGGACTTGATCACGTACTAAATCTGCTGAAGCTATAAACAATATTCATGGTTCAGATGATCAACAAAAGAATTAATATTCAGTCTATTGATGAGATGTCAAGTGCAAAACCGTTTTTGGCATCAAAAAAGGAAGAATGGAGTTCATTGAAAGTCCAAATCGCTTAGGTTGACAAATGGATTCCATTATTCAAGCATTTTCAATAAAAAGATATTGGTGTACCTAATCTCGTAAAAGTTATTGAATACCTTTAGTGTTTGCCAGGAGCATCTGCACTTGTCGAGAGTATTTTTTTAATCATAAAATATATTTGTTCAGATGACCAAGGTCTTTTGAAGGAGTTCATGGTACGTGCATAGCTGTACTGCAAGTTGAACTTTAGCATTACATGCTCACTTTTTTATGAAAAAATTTAAAAAAGTGCATTCTACTGAAAAGTATAACTCGTATAAAAACAGTGAATAGTTTTTTTCATATATTTCTTTTGTTAGATTTAACAAATAATAAAAAAATGTTTTTGTTTTGTTTCTTTGCTTTAGATTGCCCAACAGCAGCTGAGCAATGGAGCACTTCCTTTTTTATATAAAGACTTTCATGAAACCTTATTACAGGGTGCCATACTTTTTTAAGTACAACAAAAAACACTATTTTTCTCCCCTCCTATCTCTCTGGTCATTCATTTCAGCATTTTGCAACAACCCCTCCTCTCCCACACACACACACACACACAAACACACACCAATACCTCTTTCTAAACAACCCCCTCCGTTGCCGCAACCCCTGCATGTCCCGGTTTATAACTTAAAAAGTATGGTAAGCCTATTTATAGACAACATAGTTAATGTGATGTATATACATTATAATAATTCACGTGTTTTTTTTTATACTTAAATACTTTTTTATTTATTTTAGAATACATTTTTTTTAAACAAATGTTATTTTATAATATTTAATACTTAGAAAATATTGATATTTGCCGAATATTCTTTAGATAAAAATAATATTTTCTTACATTACTCTAATCGAGGTAATAAACTAGGGTAATATTTACTATAATCATTATATTTGTCCTCCAAAGTTCATGCAATTCTATTATACATAAGTCTCTCATTAGTTCTAATTATAAAAAGTTACTACCATTATTATTATAAATATATATTTACTAACCTGTTATTACTAATATTTATCAAAAATACATTCTGGTTGTTGAAGTCACTTTTACTCATATCAGTATGCAAAATATTGTCAACAGTCAGAGTGCACTATGCAGAAATACTCTTGAACATGCTGCAAAACACAAGATATACATAAGATACATATCATATAAGATCTATTACCTGGAACTTAACATTTTATAGTGTTTAACTTACTATATCTCAATAATAATAAATAAGCATATGTTTATAATCTATATCATAACTATTATCTTTATGTTAAATTTATCAAGTTAAATTAGAACTTTATAACTAAAGTTTGAATGCAAAAGTTCATATCAATAAAAATTTCATCAGTATTATAAACATAAGTATTATACTTTAAGTATTAACAAGTATTTATAAGTATAGTATTGTAAGTATAAGTTATTATTATGTATATTATGAAACTATTCTTAACACTACAGTGTACATTTTAAATCAAACTCAAAAAATATCAATGATTAAAAAATGAGCTTGATGCATAAGAATAAAGCCATTTTTTAGCATTTCAACACCTAATTATATCTTTATTTATATCTGACGGTGGGTAAACTTTGTTAACATCAGCCATTTTGCTTGCATAAAATATAGAAAAATCAATTCTCTGGAAATTTGACAAGTTGTTGACAAGGGGAAGGAAGGGGGGAGGTTAAAATTTCAAAAAATTTGTTGACGTAATTAATGGACAGCCCCTTAAAAGCTTTTAATTCCCTTTTTAAATATTTCTGACAAAACCAATATTTTGATTAAACTTAAACCATGTATTACAATCACTAGCAGAAACAAAACTTTATATTTTGATCATTTTAAAAATGCAAACAGTATCTCAATGGAATATTTACTATATGTTTCAGAGTTACTGGAACATATGTTTAACAAATATGTTAAACTTTGTAAAATTTATTTTTAAAAAAATATAAAAAAATTCTTTTATAATGGTAATAAATAAATGAAATTTTAAAACAACGTCATTTTAATAGAGTTTCACAGTGAAAAAATGCATTAAAAAAAAATTCTTTTTAATTACAATGTAAATATGTATACAAAATATGTATACAAAAATGTATACAATATGTATACAAAGAATATAATGCATAAAAGTTAAATTTTTAATTTTATTTCACGCACAATACGAATTATAAATGGCAACAATCGAGTAAGTTTTGTTATGATTTTTTTAAATATCAGTTTAAACCTTTCGTGTTGATTATTTTGTATTTTCTTTTTCTCATCTTCCAGTGAACTTAAGTTAAGTTAATGTTCTGAATTTATTAGAAAATTATTTTCATTTTATGAATAAATAAAGTTTTTCATCTCTCCTCTTTGTGTTACCATCGCTAGTGTTGGTTTTTGTGATGATGGAGTAAACACAAAGACGGGTGCTTTGCTTTTATTATCAATGAAACTTTGACCAAAGGTAAAATCAATAGGCTTTTTAACTGTTGTTAAATTTTTTATATCATGGTTTTTAATTGGAAGAAGACATGCATCTCTTGGTATATGTTTGCTTTAGCAGTTAATACAAAAAAATTCTTTACCAGAACTGTTTAGATTAATTTTCATATCATTGATTTCTACATTATGTGGTAAAAACTTTACCATTGTGTTTAGCTAAACTCTGAATAGTCTTCGACCATCCTCTATAGTTTGGTCAAAGTTGTAAGTAGTATGTTTGATTAAGTAAATTATATTAGTGTAAGGAGCAATTTTATTGGAATGTTCAGAATCAGTGACTATAAGGTTGCCCTTGCTTGTTATTAAAAAACCTTATTCTCCTCTACGCTTAAAAACAATGGGTTTCTCGCATTCTTTGATTTCAAATTGCTCCATCGAAGGGTTATTAGCTTCATTGAATTACTTAAGAACCGCTAACCACCTACCATCTCTGTGGTAAGTAATAATTTCAATTTTGAATCCCCCATTTTTTGCTGTTAATTTCTCGCTAAACTCTTTGACTTTCTCGGAGATATATTTTGAATTGCTGATTTTCAAACAATCCAAACGGTTCGAAATTCAACTAAACAATCTTGTAACATTCCGACTTTACTTACAACACTTGAATAAAACATGTTAAATTTAATAGCCAATAAAATGCAGAACCAAAACACATTCAAAATAGCATTGATATCTTTTTTCTTTCAGGGTTAGGGTTATTCTATACATAGGAATTGTGGTTTGTCCCCCATCAGCTAATTGCCATACTGAGGCCACAATACAAAGGCCTGCGAAGACGAGTTCAGCTTGTTAGAAAGCATCATAACCGGCTTTGCAGACCAAGAGTAAGTGATTTTAAGAAGAACAAAGGAATTAGAGTGAAAGTCAGAAGAAGTCGAGTTAGGAAGATAGCATAGAGAAAATGAGGTGTTATATATTTATATAACACCTAACTAAAATGAGGTGTAATATATTTATATAACACCTTAACTAACATATGATTTTCTTATAATTATTTACATCATTATAATTATTTCATAGTGAAAGCGGACAGATATTTCACTAGATGTTAGAATGTGCAATATTAATTTCCATGTTAATTTTAACATTATTGAAATTTTTTAATTATTGTTTGTTATTCTATACATAGTTATATATACTTTAATACATGGAGAATTTAATAGTCATGTCTGTTTTAATAAAAAAAGGTACTACAAGATTACTTGTGGTGCAACTGTTTAAAACACTATGTTTTAAACAGTTGCACCACTTTTAATGTATACGTTTATCTATTAAGTCGCTCTGACATCAAACGAAAACAATTGCATCGGCAGTCATGTTGAATGAGGTGAAAACATTGAGAAGAATATGAGAAAACCCTCAAATAATTTTTGATGATAAAATTCTTTTTTTGAAATTGTTGGCTGAAAAAACAAATATTCCGTAAAATAAATAGTAAAAACAATGGGAAATTTGCATGCTGTTAGGAAATTTATTCAGTTTTATTTTTTAACAAAAACTAAAATATTTTAACAAGTTTATGTGTAGCTAATTCCTCAAAAAGATGCGAAAACTAATGTGGATTAAAACTAAAGTTTGTAGAGTTTCTTTTAGAAAATTGATTTTTAAAATTAGAAGACGTAGAAACTGGAGCTAACGATTAGTCTAATCTATGTGATTTCTAACTCCAATTTCTAGTTCAATCTAAAAAAGAGAAGAGAAAAGTATCCTGTGAAGCTTTATGCAAAAAACAACAATCATTTGATTATCAATAAAATTAATGCAGCACAAAACTTGATTGAATTATTGAGCTTGAAAAAAGTAAACTTTTCTTGAACAAAGTAAACATATTTTATACCATAATCTAACATTGGAGGAACAAAATATTTTTTTTTCAAACTTAATATATGTTAACATTCCTAAAGAGTTAAAACGTAGTCCACCTCCATTTGTTGTTGGAGGACCATCCTAATATTGTGCATATAAAGCAAAATCAAACAAAGATAATGCTTTTCTGATGTAACTCTGCAATAGTGTAATTTCTTTAAAATAATTATACCAGGCCTTGCGATAAAGTGTCAGGCGATGTGAATTTTACGTCGTCCATGAGCGATTTTGCATGTAGCTAGGGCTATTTGCGTTAAGCAAAAAAAATTTTGTTAGAGTATATTTGAAGATATTTTTGAGCGCATTTTAATGAAGTAATTTACGATTATTTTAACATTTAATAAAGTATTTTTAAAACTGCACGCAGTTGATATAAAAGTTTGAATTACAAAAAAATTAAATATGCTCATTATCTAGAAATTATCATTATACAGAAAATATCATTATATAGAATTATAAAAAATTCAGATTTAAAAAAAAGTTTAAATCTTTTTAAGCTAACATTTTAATAAAATTATTCAGCAATAGCAAAGTTGTCAATAAAATTGAACAAAAATGCTTTCTTATAGTTTCAGATTTTAAACTTAAATAATAATTTTATGGGGGTTTGTTAGGTTTTAAAATTATTCCATAGATTTAAAAATATTTATGAACTGTTAGGCGTATTTAAAGTATTTAAGAGTAATTTCGAGGAAACATTTTAAAAATTGGTAAGCGCAAATAAAAAAAAATAAAAGGAATAATATTAAAAGGTATTCTACTTGATTCAATAAAAAAGTTAAGTTATTAAAAAGTAACTCAAAAAAATTTACTTAAATAATAACAATCGCTTTTTTGTTAAAAGTTACCGAAACTTACACAAAGCGTGCCCAAGAACAGCTGCTGAAAAATAGAACGTCAATAGTTTGAAAAGTTTAAATAACCTAAATTTGTTACCCGGTTTCTACCCATGTAAAGCGAATTTCTACAAACACCCTGAAAAAGGCTTAATAAACGTAAAATATAAGTTAAAAATTAATTTGCAACCTGTAATCATAAGCCATTTCATAAAACTTAAAATATAAATATATCTAAATGAGGAAATATATATAATGTGCATTAATTTTTTTTCTTAAAAAAAAAAAAAGTTGTTTTACTACTACTGCTAGTACACGTAGTTTGTTATATTTTTTAGTATTTATGAAAATAAATAAAAGTAAATAAATAAAAATATATTATATAAAATCGCTGGTAAAAATATTAGCTATTGCACAGTTTTTAATCGTACAATATTAAAATTTCCAGTTTATTACTTGCTGACTTTTTAAAAAGAAAAAATAATTATTTGAAAAACTTTAAATTACATATTTGTGAAAAAAAAAATCAAATATTAGCATATTTTATAATCTTTTTTAAATGTTTAGTTATAATCTTTTTATTCGTTTAGTATAGATAAAACATGTCAAACGTCGAGAAAATAAACAAATGTTTTAACATTTAAAAAAATGAAACATTCCAAAACATTTTTAAATAATAACATTTCTGCATTAATGATTTAAAGTAGTTTTGCGGTAATTAAGTAGTTCTGCGGTCATTAAGTAAATTGGTGCAGTTAATGTCAATAAATATGAAAAGCAAATAAAATGAATTTAATGACGTCAAAAATCACGTTGTGCTTATGCGTCGCACAGTTTTTATTCATCACAAGGCCTGTAATACAAATTTTCTGCTAGAGTTGCCAATCTAAATTCTGGCCAAATTGTGGAGGAATAAAGAATAATCTACAAAAATGTTTTTGGAGAGAAAAATTTAAGACTGTTTGTATTATTTATTCTACTTTTTTAAGTTTTAATTGCAAGAAAAAAAATTTAACTTTATGATAGGATGCTAAACTACTTAAAACTCCTAAAACATGGTTCGGTTATAAACATATCGATACCATTAAATTAGTAACTGGTATTTAATAAAAATCAGCAATTAGTTAGCTAAGACAATTAGTTTATTATATGCTGGCTAGAGTGGTTGTGTATCATACAGATTACCATTAGATTAGTTTATTTTATCAAAATAAACTTTTATTTGAAGCTTACACCTTGTAGCTATATAATTTTTAATGTAAAAAAACTTGATTATATCTTTAGGTTATCATATTTATTAATTTGCTAAATAAAGACTTCTATTCCAGCTTTGAGTTTTAATTTTATAATATTAATACTACTAACAATCACTACACCAAGGCTCGCTCACACTATTAAAAATGCTATTAAGGCAACATTAAAAATCATAGGTTTTACAAAAGACTACAATTATCTGGACCCAAAATCTAGACAAATTTATTAAAAAAGTGCCCTGAGAGGCTTAAATAATAATGTTATTTAAAAATACATTTTTTGCAATCTTTTTTTGATTGTCAATTCAAATAATAACTTATAGCTTGCAACTAAATCAATCAAAATTCTCTGAGTTTTGCATAACTCAACTAATTTCGTGACTTTAGAAGAATTTAAAAGTTGCTGGCCAAACTTATTATTTATAAATATCAAAAGTAATTTTATAGAGAAGCGCTATAGGGCTATTCTACATTGTGCAAAAAGTACAACGTTTAATATAAATTTCAAATCCTAGAAAATAAAAAACTAAATATATCATTTAAAAGTTAAAGGTTTGTAGTTTCTTAAAACATGTAACATGTAGAACTGGTTTCCGAAGAATTTTAGGACTTGATGCTTAAACTTTAAACAAAATATTTTAGACTTCAAATTTAAATTATTTTCCTAGTAAATCATTTTGAAACCTTTTTTTTTGAAACTTTTTTAAACTTCTATGTAGATTTGTCTTATGCAAAATATAGGTAGGGCTCTTGCTTTTAAAATTGAAAATTAATTATAATAATAAAATAGTCTTTCATTGAGAAATTTCTATTTGGTCTTCTTTAAGCTTGTCACGCTGTGACATGTCACGCCATGACACTAAAAGTAACATTTTTCAATGTAGCGTAAGAATATTTATTTATTTTAAATAAATATTTATAAATTATAAATAGGGCAATAAATATCAATAGATATTTAAATTTAAATATTTTTAGATTTTGTGTTATGTGTCTCAAGTTTATGACACGTTGTGACAACACCACGTGATATTTTTTTAAATTAAATTTTTTAAAGACTAATTTTTATAAAAATGTTACACAAAAAACATGTTGGTTTAACATTTATAGTATTTTTATTGTTTTTTATTTGTGGATATGTTTTGAAACCTCCTTCAATATAACTAACATTGTTTTTTTTTTATTAAACTTGTGGGTGTACCTGTAAATATGTAGACATATTTTACCAACACCTTTGTTATTTAGTTTTTCTTAAATTTTTTTGCGCCATTGCTGAAGTTATTCTGAATTTTTATTGTTTATACAATTCTTATAAAAAGTAAATTTTCACAAACAAACTGTTTATTTCTTCGCTGAAAGTAATAAAAATGCCTCTGGCACATGCTGAACGCCAGAGAAAGTTTAGAGAAAGACAAATGCAAAAATTTGGTCCGGATTTTATAAAGGTAAAGGACTCAATACGGAAAAAGGAAAAACAAAATTCTAATGATGAATTAGCACGTTAAAGTACAAGTTAAGGAAAAAAAAAAGGAGAATTTCTTCATCTAAAATAACATCTAACATCTTTCCTGCTTTACAAGTGTACAAATCTTGTACACTTGGTAAAGCTGTTAAAAAAGCAATACGTACTGTTCCAATTTCTCCTCTTAAAAAAGCAACTGTCATTAAACAACTTGCAATTCAGTTTAACAAAGATTTACCAGATATGCAACCAACATATGGACCTACCCAGCAAACACAATCAACAATGAATCAACATTGAAAAACTGTTGAAATTTATGGTTAAAAAATAGTTGAATTTTGGTTGAAATGGAAACACAAATCAACATTGAAAAAAACGTTAGATCAACTTTGAAAAATCAACGTTAGATTAACATTGATTCAACCAACTTATATATGAGTTTGTAAACCTCAAAAACACAGTTTTTTGCACCGTGATTCTTTTAATCCAAAAAATCATTTATTTTTTGTACAAAATTGTGGTGTTATGAGTAAGAAAAGAAACAATAATTCTTCATAAAATTATAATAGGTGTCATAGTACAATATCTTATGCTATTATAGAGCACATCTTGTTCTCAATTTTTACAGATTTCATTTATTATTATTAGTAGTAGTATTAATTTATTTTATATTATAATACTAACTGCTGTTATAGAATTACAAATAATCTGCCATTTACCATTTTTTTAATGTAGGTAACTAAATTATAGAAATTGAAAAGCCATTATTGAAAGCAAATAAAACCAAAAAAATTTATACACTTTTAGAACAAAAATTTATACAAAATTAAAATTATTTTCAAAACAATCTTGATAAAATCATGATATCTTTATCTTCAACACCAATGTCAAATTCATATATATTTTTATTGCCTGCTGTCATCAGACTCATTTTGATTTGATGCACATTTCTTTTAGTTTTAGATTAGGTAAAGTAAAACTTGTTTTTTAATTTTTGAAATCAAAGTAAACTTTATAAAACAAAAATGATCCTTAAATTATGCAAGCAAATAAAATTATGCAAGCAAATAAAAGATTTGTTCTTCAAAAAAAAAAAAAAAAAATTATCAGTATAAGTTATGAAAAAACAAAAACAAAAAAAAAAAAAAAGTAAAAATGCAATGAAATCACAAATCATTAAATTAATGGAATACTCAAATTACAAATTAAAAAAATAATGAAATTGTGGCAAAAAAATGTGATAAACAAAATTTTATTTAAAATCTTAAAAACCAGACATGAATACAACTGAGAGGTTAGAGTGATTAGACTAACTAATCTAAACTAGTCTATACAAATGTGATTTGATACTCAACGGATATATTGAAATATTAAAAAAAAAGAAGGAAGAAAGTCAGGGAAAAAGCTTAAACAAACTGTAAACTGTTTTATATCTAATCTTAATCTAAATCTAATCTTAGCTCTAATTTGAGCATGCTGTTAGCAACTTTTAATAACTTTTTCTTTTTTTATAAGTGCCAACTTTTTTATAGATACTTTAAACAAGAAAATAATAAATAATTAATAGAATTAAAGTAAATAAATAATTATAATATTAATAATATTACCAAATATAATAATAAAAAGAAAAAATAAGAAATTTGTTTAACAATTTGTCATCTATGCAACTTGATGATTTAGATTATATTATGTGTAAAAAAAAACTATTAGCAGAAAGTTGTCATGAATGGTACAATATTGACAAATCCAAGACAATTATCTATGATGGCAGAGTAATAAAAGTTAATTAATAAAGTCATAATTTACATTCGTTGTTACTTTCATTATGTTTATATAATGACAAGCATTATATAACCAGAATGTTTATTAAATTTAAACTCTATCTGGCTCCTCTCTCTAGATGAACATTATATGCACATGACAAAACAAAGTAGATATGTTTAAAAATGACTTTATTGTATACTTTAGCTCCTATATTATTTAAGCCTACATTAATTAGTCTATTTTTTTCTTTTTTAACTAAAGCTTTAAATTTTTGTTCTGTTCTACTGTGCAAGCCATCTTTATTTTATTTTAATAATGCAACAAAAATTATAAAAAAAACAACAACGGTAAAATGAAAATACCACCTACTAAGGAGTTATGTGTTATTAACGCCTGCAATCCATTTTATTTAGGATTTTACTTTATCTGATGTTATTGAACCAATTTCTGCCAAAAAGAATGCAGTAGATACTTTATATAAGATTTGATAAAGATTAAATGGTCTTTAACACTGCTCTTATAAATATATGTAATCCATGAGGTTGCGATCGCGTCACAAAACGAGGTACCATCTTTGTAGGGAAAAAACATTGAGCTAAGCGCGTTATTAGCGCGTTTTTTTCAATGTCTTAACTTTAAAACAATGAACAAAACGCGCTAATTGCGCGTTTTGTTCAATGTTTTTCCCCTCGCTCGTTTTGTGACGCGATCGCGACCTAATGATATATCTATTTATAATATGCATAATAAAAGCATATAGGAATAAGAAAACTGCTCCAAAATTGTTTAAAAAAAAAAATACGTTGCTTTTATAATGGTTGTGCCTAAAACCTGGCCCGGGCCGGCCTGGCTTAAAATCCTAAAACCCGGCCCGTCCAGATACATAAAACCCGGCCCGGTCAGACACCTAAATCCCGGCCCGGCAGTTATGCACTAAAACCTTTTTGTTTTTCCAAAAGCATTTGTAAATTAAACTTTACGCTATTATTTAAGAAGTATAATATTTTTGAATAATAAGTAAAATAATTTTTTACTTCAGAGTGTCTATAGATAAACTACCATAGAATCTTATTAGTACAGTTTTAATTGCATTCTTTAGAAGCGACAAGATAATTACTTATACCATTATGTGGGGGCGTGGGATTTTAGAATAAAGCATACAGTTTTAATTGCATTCTTAAGAAGCTACAAGATATTACTTATACCATTATGAGGCGGCGTGGGATTTTATATAAAACGCAAACGTCTTTAGAAGACATAAAACGTCCAATATCATTTTATTTTCTTTGCTTCATTTATAAATATACTTTTAATTGCGTCAATAAGGAAGTACTGAAACCAATAAAGCTAAAAAATTTGTTCAGAGTTATAGAGACTAAATGGAGCATTCCGTTCACGCTAAGCCTAACTTTGTGCGTCAGGGTATGCTAAGTATTGACGAAGTACTTGAGTGTTTAGCAAACATCGACGAAAATAATGTATCAGAGAAAACTGCTCACAAGCGAAAAGGAGGAGACGTTTTTGTATATCGGAATAAAGACAATACCAAAAAAGGTATGTTCAAAAATATAGCACTATTTGTAAAATATTCACTTAATAATAAATTACTTTATATATAACATATTTTATTTTATTTTTCAGATGATTGGGTAGCTGATGGCTATCGGTGGATCAATAACGGAAACGATAAACTTCCTAGGAGGCAACCTTTCATATATAACCGAAAGTACAAATCACACACTAAAACTGGTTCATTGTTAAGCTTCTGTCGTTATTCTTTTGTAGCAATCGGCTTGTTTAAATATCCGTATGTTGTTGTGCAGTATGTTGGTGATGAAGCAACTGCATCATCGTTTCCACACGGTAATAGTAAAACAAAATCTACTACAAGATGGTATGAGCGGACAGCACCTTTGGTACTTGCATATCTTGCCAATAAAGTAAAAGATTATAAACCTTCATTTGTCTATGAGAAATTGATTACGAGTACCGAAAATGTAGATGCTCTTCCTAGAAATATTAAACAAGTTAGAAATATAAGAGAACCGGTAATCGCAAGTCAAAAATTATCTAACGATGGCATCTCTAATTTACACGATATTGTTTTTGATCTTCCGGACTTCATTTGGTTGATACAGACATTTTCCCAACTTAATTGTTGTTGCGGGACGGCAAGATATAATGATTTTTTTGAATGAACTTCAAAAAAACGCATGCCCAATTATTGACGTATGACACAACATTCAACTTTGGAGAGTTTTATATATCAGTTCTTTTAATGCGTGGTGTTTGTTTTACAGAAAACCCAGTTTTACCAGCAATGTTTATGATTCATGAAAAAAAGTTACAAAGAACTAACAAGATTTTTGTTGACATCTTAAAAGAAAAACTACCTGCTTTAAAAGTATCCATTGGCGCACTGGTGACTGATGGTGAATCATCATTCGATGTTTTTGAAGAAGTTTTTCCCAAGTTTAACAAGTTAGTTTGTTGGAACCATTTGTTAAGAGCAACCAACTAATGGTTGAAAAGACATAATGCTACTTTCCCAGACATTGTCGTGTATCTCGATCACATTCAAACTCTTCTCTATTGCCCAACTGATGCAACGTACTTAAAGATGTATCGTTCTAAAGTAAAGCTCTGGAGTCAACCGTTCATAATAAACTACGACAATACAATACACAAGCATATAGGTACCAAGATCGGTTGTGTTGTGTTGGAACGTTTAAACGTATATGACAAAAACTCTGGTATTACACAAAATATGTCAGAAGGATTTAATACGGTCATGCGTCGTGTTCATGAATAGGAGGAGGTTTCTATTGATATGAGTGTGCTAATTCTTTATCACCTACAGAGCTTTTATATTAACAACATTAATCTTGGATTTGGAGATCAAGGAGACTATCATCTATTGAAAGATTAATTTCCTCACCTTGCCCTTGCGAGAGAAAACACTATTATAGAAAAAGTTCTACTACATGAAGAACTAGTTTCCGAAATGAAACGTCGAAATAACGATTTTAAAAACAATGTTGTCAAAGAAGAAAAAAACGTTTGCATTTCATCTGAAGATGTTAGGGCTCAGACTGTTCTTGAAACTACCGGTTTGATTCCGTTCAATTCATCTTTAAAATATTTTTTGGTTGAAGGAACCAGTAACGATATATAGTTGATGCGAATAAATGGGCTCAAAAAAACTTGTTTGTGCCGACCATCGTTGCTACATTCGTGCTAGAATTGTACATCGTATGCGAACTAACGTTGATAACGAAGATATATGTGATATCTCGATTTGTGTAAAGCCCCGTGGTGCTCGTTTAACTTGGTCACAATGCAATCAATGCGATCGGTGGTGTCATGATGCTTGTAAACCACATCAGTCTTCTCACTCCACATTTTACTGTAGTCATTGCATTTGAACAAACAAATTGTTTATGTCATTTATTTACATAGTATACATTTACACTTTTTTAAATTAAAGAAAAAGTTACAAAGAAAAATGTTCTTACTGTTTTTAAATTTATTAACAAATATAAATAATCAAATCAAAAATAATTTTTTAACCTGGCCGAGTTTTAGGCTTTTAAGTCGGACCGGGCGCGGCTGGGCCGGGTTTTAGGCACAACCTTTTATAATCACTGTTGATGTTAATAACGGTAGAAAAAACAACTCAAATGTTTAAGGCACAAATTAAATACTGTCATGATAATCATTTTTTATTGTTAATATACCATTCTTTATAAATTCATACTAGAGGCTGTCCATTATTTACGTCAACAATTTTTTTGAATATTTTACCTTTTCCTCTCCCCCTTGTCAACAATTTGTCAAATTTCCAGAGACCCTTCCAGTAAAATTACGTCAATTTTTGATTACCCCCCCCCCCCCCTATAAAAAGAAGCTAAACTTTCATAAATTATAAAAAGAAGCCAAACTTTCCGTTATTTAAGCAATGAAACTCAAAAAATAAAAAAATTTGTGATATCAACTTTAATTGACCTCCCCCCTCCCCCTATTCAACAGTTGTCAAAAAAGTTCAGACCCCCCTCTCCCTGTTTTGTTGACGTAATTATTGGACAACCTCCTAGTCTACCTATATAACGACCAATTAGAAAAATGAAATTGCGTTTACAAAAAATTTAAAGAAAAAATAATAGAGTTTCAAATCTAGTGATAAATTTCATTTTTTCCGAAGTAAAACCTAAATTATGGTTCTTCGAAGTTTTCTGTGAAACGATTTGAAGGACCTTGTGGGTTCTTTGTATTGCTTTGTAAATAAGCCGCCGGTTTTTCAGAGAACCATTAGAGAATATAAAGAACCCGTAGGTTCTTTAAAAAACCTTAAATTTTCTTCAAGAACCTTTAGGTTCTTCAAAGAACCGGCAAAGAACCGCGAAGAACCTTTTGGATTTACAGTGTAGATTAAAAATAAAAAAAGTACATTATTATATATAGAGATTGTAAATATTTGACAGACATTCAAAACGTCATGAAAATATAATAATATCAATAACAGAGTTTTAAATCTATTTACTTATTTATATTTATCTATCTATTTCAAATCTATTAATAATAATATCGATAATAGAGTTTCAAATAAAATAATATTAAGTTTGTTGCATCAATTTTTATTTTAAGTTTATTCCACCAGAAGAGTTTGTTATTCAGTTCCACGATTTTAAGAAGTCATAGGATTTGAAATTAAAAAATATTAAATCCCCGTTTTTAAAGTTTTATAAAGTTTATTATAAATAACTTTTAGTATTAGCAACTATTTAATTAAAATAAAAGTAAATATATCTAAGTACAAAGTGATTCTTTTGGCATTTAAAGAGCTTAAGTAAAAAACAAAAGATCAAAATAACTTTGTCCACCAAAAAATCCACCAAGTTTAATATCCGGCCCACTGTGCAACGTTTTCAGAAAAGACAGTGCTTAACGTTTGCCTTCAGGAGTTCACTCATGCAGCCATTCGGCGTATTTATTATTATTGCCACATCAATTCTTAGAAAAGATTTCGCAAAATATTTTCAGAAACGGATGAGCTAATCAAAATTTTTCTCTAACATCTACATTTTCAACCCATCTTGTATTACAAATATCAGTAAGAATCTTTTACCTCTTCAATGTGTAAATTTGGTTTTAGTTTTGGTACACTAATTTAAGAAGTTTTTCTTGCTTTGCGTTATTTTTCATTCATTTTTTCTTTTTCATTATATTTAATAAATTTCTTTTTTCAGGTATTTTGCAAGAATGACTAATAACCAAATTCCTATGACACGCGCAATAGGTGTATATTGCTTTGGTTGAATGCTCGGAAATTAGGTTCATTCACCTGATTAAGACCTTGCCATTGATGCTGCATCATCGTATCCTCGTATCCATCGTAATCCGTAACTTGAATATTTTCAATATTTAAATTAAGGTCATGTTTTTCAGCTATTTGAACGTTGTTTTGTCGAGGATAACCAGTCGCATTAAAAGATGTAAACGATAATTCGTCCGAAATTTTTCCCGTGAAATTTGTGAAAACTGTATGAATTTTCCGCAAATAAGTGAGAGAAAATAAAGAAAAAGTTGAAATATTCTATTAAAAAAATTATTTGTAATTGATCTTGTACGAATTTTATTGAAGACCTGCTCATGTTTTTATTTTGCGTCTGACTGTCTTTTTTATAAAGAAATAAATCGGTAGTTTTACTCATTCTTTTGCAAAAGATTTCAACTTTTTTTAGATTTTAATACGTTCTTCCTAAGCCTCACCTCTTCATTTTTGATTTATATTAAATTAAATAATTTATAGGAATAAAATAATATATACAAGTAAATACAAATGCTAAAATATAGTAAAAATAAAACGCTTGAAAAAAGTATCTATTTTTAATGCTATAAGACAAAGGTAAAACGTTTTGTACTGTTTTCTTTTGAAGCTGCGTTGTATTAACTTTTTTAAACCAGTTTGGTTAACATTAGAAAAATTAATCAACGTTAGAAAAAAACAACTTAAAAACTTTCGTGCATTAATGTTGCTGTATGGTCATTCATAAGTTAGGTCACGCAGTTTTTGATCGTTTTTAACGTTCCCCCCCCCCCCCTCCCTTCTCCTTTCTTGCAAAATTGTAACACTTAAGTAGCAAGTTTTGTATAAGTCGTCACAAAACTACCAAATCCCCTCCCCCGTTTCAGCGTGACATAATTTATGAACGACACCTATGCAATAAAATTTAATTGTCGTTTTTGCAAGTTTTTATAATTAGCTAAGAACTTTAAGAATTTTTAAAAAAGCTTGAGGCAACACTACTTTTAATGAAAAAATAAGCAAAACCATAAATTTAGTAAAATTTTGAAATTGACCAATTTTTTCGAAAAAAAAGTGACAGCCACTCTACTCACCCTCTCCACCACCTTTTAACTATTATAGGTTTAATAGGTTTGTAAAGTACTATTATAGGTTTAATAGGTTGTACTATTATAGGTTTAATAGGTTGTAATTATAGGTTTAATAGGTTGTAAGTATAGCCCAGTAAACACAGAAACGTATAATAAACGTGTTATTTACGTTTTACGGGGCACGTGTTTTTAACGTAGAAAAGTTGTCTATATGAAATAAGCTTTTAACGTATTTCTAGGACGTGTTTTACACGTTTAATTGAAACTTATTTTAAACGAGTTTTAGACGTTTATTAAACGTTTTATTCACCTTTTTTGACACGTGTATTTAGGGTGGCAAAATCTTCTATTTGAAATAAGCTTTTCACAAGTTTTTAGGACGTGTTTTTTAGGTCTCATTAAAACCTATTTTAAACGGGTTTTTTTGCGTTTTTATTAGACGGTAATAATATATATTTGACTCGAAATATTTAAAAACGGACAGTTTTTGATGAGTATAAGTGGCAGTAAAAAGCTTTGCGTATATATAAAAAAAGTATAAAAGAAATATTTTTTATTTTATTAGTTAAAAAAACAAAAATACAAACAAAAATACAAACAAAAATTATATATATATATATATTATATATATATATATATATATATATATATATATATATATATATATATATATATATATATATATATATATATATATATATATATATATATATATATATATATATATATACACATACAAAATATATATTGTTGTTGTAATTTACATTACAACAATGTCACATCCTTCAGGTTATCTACGGTTCGAGGTGAAAACATTAATTCTCCAAGTTCACCAATAAAAGAATCGATATCCAGAAGATTTAATGGAATCGATATCTCTCGCCAAATTTGTTTGATACTACTGCAGCTAAAACGAAATTATAGTAAATCAAATCAAATAATGAAACTAGCAAATGACACTAATAATCAGAATAATATTTTGTCATAGAACAAAATTTGTTTTTACATGTATAATACTTAAGTAAATATTTAGACTTTACCAAAAGATTTTAATATTTACCGAAACTCGCTTCGCCGAATCTTTTTAAACTTTTGCACTGATTTCCCAATTATACACTCTTTAACGAAAAAGACAAGTCTCGTTATTGCACTTATTGCTGATTTACAAAGATGTTTCCCTACCAAGTTGTTTTAAGCATTTTGTTTAAATAAAAATAAGTGTTGTAATGTAAACAATTTATTTGTCTACTTTAACACACTACTTAATAACTCTTATGAATAAATTTATACCTGGTAAATATTCTCAACGATTAACAAAAAAAAAAATAAAAATGTATATACAAAATTTAAGTATTAAAAACATTAGAATAAGTATATTTTATAGTATGAATAACATTTTTTTACTTAATAAAAGTAACAGTACTTTAAAAAATTCATTTACATACAAACTTGATTTTCCCAGTAAAAATTACATAAAAAAATAATAGAAAAACCCTAGACTTGCCACCTTTATCATTCTTTATCCGTAACCTAATGAAATTGAGAATACACTTATATTAGAATTATCATGCCCTACAGAGACACAACTTTATCATTAATAGCACTAAAAAAATATTAACCTTCATTTTAGTTGCTGCCTTGTTTTTGAAAGCATCAGATTCTTCAAGTGAGTGACATTTATCTCTTAAAAGCGAAAAACTTTTTGGCTCAGTTCTCCATCCTAGCCTTTTAAGCGCAGTAACAATATTTTCTTGGGTTGATTTAACTTCTGCTAAATCCAACCTGTAAGTAAAAAGGACATACTTATTATCCTAATATCAAACATTTTTATTAATTTATAACCTAAAGGCCGTTGTGACACTACAGTCAAGGCTAGTAATTTACCCAAAACATGAACGGCTTTGTGTGGAGAAGCAAGTTGAGTGCTTCCAGAGGTGTGGAGGCGGTTCATTAGCAAATCTATTGATTAAGAGTAAATACCGGAGTATATATAAGTTATAAATCAGTTCTATTTCAGCTTTTGCGCAGTTCTTATGGCATTGATTTAATTTCTAATTTTTGATTTTGCTTATGGGGTGATTAGTTAATTTTCTCAGTTTTAAATCAGTTCGCAATAGTTCAGTTCTTGATATTAATATTTTTCTATCGTATTTTAGTTCTTAATCCATTTATTAACTGAATTAGGATCTGAAATATGAGGGGAAATATAGATATCAAGAACTGAATTGATATATTAATTTTAAGAGAACTGATTTGTAAATGAAATTTCATTTTTGATTTATTGAGGAATTATTTTATGAGTGGAACCTGAATTGAAAATTAAATAAATGCTATAAGAACTACATATATATACAAAAAACTAAAACAAAACTGATTTCGAACTTAAATATCACTTGCAAATACTCAACCAAACTATAAGTAATTTTATAATACAACAAGGTATAAATGTGTAACATCAAAAATGGCATATGCATCAGCAACATGATGCATATCATAATAAAATAGTGCATAACTATTATACATCCCAATCGCCATTAAAATCATTAAAAAAATATCATGGCGAGTAATAGTATGTAAATAATATTTATTTCACAAAAGTACATATGTAAGACTATTATAATATATAAGATAATTAAACTTACATAATTCATCCATGCATTTAGAGAATGGCGGTTTTCCATAGTTGCCAAGAAGAGTATTTCTATCTCTATCCACTCTAATTAATTCTTAAAGCCTTTGTTACAGGCTAAACTTGACTTACAGGCAAGGCACATAAGGTTACAAATGAAATAGAAAATACCTTGTTCTGCAAATTCACGAAGACAATTTAGAATCAAGTTGTCTACAGCCATTGCACATGTTTCTTTTTTCCAACAAGATTTTGATTAAATTAAATTCTTCCTCTGACGTGTCTGGTAGCCATTGAACTAATTTCTCAACTTCATCTACTCAATACAAGAGCAATAGACATTTCTTCACTAATTTATTTTTATTTCCTTTTTATTTACTACAAAACAAAACCTTTTGATTGCACAAAATACAAAGTTTATACATACTCACTCAGCATTAACTTTATATATATATATATATATATATATATATATATATATATATATATATATATATATATATATATATATATATATATATATATATATATATATATATATATATATATATATATATATATATATATATATATATATATATATATATATATGTATATTATGTTAGTATATTTTACAAATAGAGTGCTCAATGTTCTTAAAGAACAGAGCAATAATAAATTAGTAAAAAACACTTATTTAACTTTTTACTTCGACTTTAAGTTTCACCATTGCTGTATCATCAGGAAGCTTGATCGATCATCAGCTTCCTGATGATCCAGCAATGGTGAAGTTTGAAGTCGAAGAAAAAAGTTAGATAAGTGTTTTTTACTAATTTATATATATATATATATATATATTTTTTTTATTAATTCACCTCCTCAAGGCTCAAGGCCACTACAGTCGAGGAGGCTACATATTTGTGGTTATAACCCTCTCTCAACTCTTTAACTCCGAAACACGAACCTTGACGAACAAGGCCGCTGAGCGGAGAAACAAGTTAAGCATGGTACTACCAGGGACGTGGTGGGGATTGAACTCGGAACCTCTCACTTACGAAGCGAGCGCTCTATCACTACACCACTACCGC